ACAATACATGAGCACCTTGCTTAACTATCTAATCCACATAGTTTAAAATTTGATCGGGACCCACAGTTAACTCGAAGAGTGCCTAACGCCGTCTCTTTGAGGTAATTTGAGAGCTTATTGGTGACACTAACCAGTTAAAACAAAGTTATTTGTAAATAAGTGCCCTAACACGCCTTAAAATCATTAGTTGGCGACTCTTCTCTTTTGATACCTCCTTTAAAAGAGTTTTCACATATTGAAGCCCGCTTTCACGAGAAAAAGAGGCGCCAAATGTAATCTCTTTAAATATCTTAGATTTTAAAATTAAATGTGTTTCGGTGGACCCAAGAAGTTCGGCCAATATTATCCAGTAGAGAGTGTTGGAACCAGCCAACCTGACTGGAAGTATTATCTCAGCCACAAAGCTCCTCGCCGAGTTTAATATGGCAATCGTGACAACCTGAGTAGAGATCCTGCGGCCCACAAATGTGGAGGGGGTGATGAAAATGACTCTCTTCAAGGTAGTGGATGGCGATATAGGCTATAATATTATCCTGTGGAGACCACGGTTACACTAGATGAAGGTCGTGTCGTCTATATATCATCAATTTCTGAAGTTCCCGACACCCAAGGGGATTAAGCAAATAAGAGGAGACCAACTAGACGCAAATGAGATGAAAGAAATCTCAGTTTACAATAGCAAAAGGAAGGAGCATGCAACATAGCAATTACAAGAACCGACGCTTGCTCCCGAGCTGAGTAAAGTCAACCAGGGAGAGGAGTCATCGGAATCCTACCAGGTAGCACGATACTTCTAGGTACCAGAAGAATCGGACGCAACAAAATCCACGACGGAAGAACTTGAGCAAGTCATGTTGTTCGAGAAATTATTAGAGAGAAAATTCCACTTAGTGACAGGACTGATCCCTGAGCTCACGCTTGGATTTATCAAAATTTCTTAAGTTTAACATTAACTGTTTTGCGTGGTCTTATGCGGATATGATGGGTATCCCTCCAAAAGTGGTCATGCAAAAACTAAGTTTGGATCCTAACATCCATTCGGTAAGGCATATGTCTTATCGTAGAAGTCAGAAACAAATTCTTCAAAAAAGAGGTAACTCATCTGTATGATATCGGTTTAATCTGAGAGGTGAAGTATCCTGATTGTCTAGCTAACGTAGTAGTGTTCTAAAGAAGAAGAATAAATTTCGCATGTGCGTAGACTATAAGGATTTAAACAAGGCGTGCCCTAAGGACTAGCTCCCATTGCCAAACATTGATCAAATAATTGATGCGACGGCCATGCACGAATTGATGAGTTTCCTCGATGCTTACTCCGGGTAAAACCAAATCAAGATGAACCCGAAGGATCAGGAAAAAACTTCGTTCATAACAAACTTCGGCACATAGTGGTATAATGCAATGCCTTTCAGGCTAAAATCACCGGAGCCACCTATCAACGGCACGTAAACAAAATGTTTGAAAAATAAATTGGGAAAACTATGGATGTTACATAGATGATATGTTAATTATATCTTTGAACTCATGTGATCATCTTAAATAATTGCAATAAACCTTTGACATCTTAAGGAAGCATAACATGAGGCTTAACCCCGAGAAGCGTGTGTTCGGGGTCAGCTCTATTAAGTTCCTAGGGTTCCTGATGTCGCAAAGGGGGATCCAGATTAACCCCCATAAAATTAAAGCCATCGAACACATTTTGGACCAGCTATCAAGCGTGCCCCAGTGTTCGAATGCAAAGAATGTGAATTGGAACATTGAAAGTTTTCTCCTTTTAAAGGTTCCACTATTGAATGGTTAGATAATCTTTAGTTCTCAAGAAAACTTCACTTCCCCTTAGGAATTTTTTCTATCAAGCCAAAGAATATCTAACAGTCCCCCAACGACTTACACTTGTGAACGACCGCATAATTTTTGCCCGACAGCAAAATTTATTTTTTGGTAGGAACTTTGCTACCAAGAAATAATTATCTAACCGCTCAGTAGTGGCTTGTTGCTCGCACGCCTTGTCATTTAAAGCTCTTATCTCTGTTGACGAAACTTTCTTCATAGTATATATTCTGTTGCTGCCTTGTTAAAAACCTTACCAGAAAAACTCAATTAGAACAAAAACTGGATAGAGGAAAAAAGAGTGTAGTACATACTTTTAGTGTAGGCAAGGTTCATAAGCAATAGTATCTTTTGAGGTGTGCCACATTCCATCTTCTCAGCTACTTTACTCTTTCTTGTTTTTCCAATTTGTATGACCCTTTCCCAGTGACAGCTAAAACCTGGTAGGGGCCTTCCCCTGTTGGACCTAGCTTTCATGCATTGAGCTCCCAGTGTTTTGAGTTACCTTCCTTAAAACTAAGTCCCCTACTTTGAAATAACAGAGGTTGGCTCTTTGATTTTAATATCTTTCCATACTCTACTTCTGTGCTGCCATCCTTATGTGCACCAAGTCCTTGTGTTCGTCGAGCAACTCCAATTGACCAACATTGCTTCATTGTTTGATTCTCCGTCTGCCCGAAAATATCTCAAGATAGGTTTTCCTACTTCCACTGGGATAAGGGATTCTGCTCCGAACACAAGAAAGAAAGGAGTCTCCCCCGTGCATGATTCGATTGTTGTTTGATACACCCATAGTACTCCTGGTAGCTCTTTGGGATATTTGCTTGTGGCCGCTTCCAATCTCTTTTTGAGATTTTATGTAACCATGTTGTTTGTTGATTCTGCTTGACCATTTGCATCGGGTGATAGGGGGACGATGCGATCCTTTTGATTTTTAAGTCATCAAGGAATTTTGTGACCTTTGCGCCTATAAATTATGGCATGTTGTTGCAAGCTGTCTCTTTTGGTATCCTGAGTTTGTAAAATATATTCTCCCACAAGAAATCTACCACTTCGCGTTCGTCGATCTTCTGATTTGGACCCGCTTAAACCCACTTAGAAAAAATAGTCAATTAAAATCAAAAGAAATCTTACCATACCGGCGGCCACTGGAAACGAAGTCCATCCCGCACTTCATGAACGGCCATGGCGACAAACCGAGTGTAGTGGCTTTTCCACTTGATGAACCAACGGTGCATAGCGTTGACATTTATCACATTTTTGAAAATAATCCTTAGCGTCTTGTTCCATTCGAGGCCAATAGTATCTTGCCTTAGTTTTAACACTAAGGATCCCTTCGTGGACTTCTCGCATTACATAGTTAGCTTTGGAAGCTCCCAAGAACCAGACCAATAGGCCTTGGAAAGATCATCTATACAATTGACCTCCCTTGAAGCTATATTGAGTTACTTTAGTGCGCAGCGCCAGAGATTCCTTGGGATCTTACATGCTCAACATAATCTATTATCTCATTTCTCCAGTCCCAGACTAAGTTGGTAGCATTTACTTCGCGATAGCTATCTTCATCCAATACCAAATGCATAAGTTGTACGACAGTACTGGAGTCCGATCCCTTTATTTTTTGGACGATCCCAGATTGGCTAGTGCATCTACTTCCGCATTCCCTTCCCTTGGGATGTGCATAATTGACCATTCCCTTAACCGTGGGAGCAGTGTCTGGACTTTCACTATGTTTTGTTGCATGCATTCCTCTTTAACTTCAAAGATCCCGTATACTTAGTTTACTACCTAGTGCGAGTCGGTTTTGATTTCTATGACCTCGGAATCGAGTCCTCGGGCCAGCTCGAGTCCTGCAATCATAGCTTCATACTCTATTTCACTGTTAGTCAAGGGAACAGTTCTTATGGCATGCCTTAGGATTTCTCACGAGGGCGTGGTTAACACTATGCCGAGCCCGGGCCCCTTCACATTGGATGCTTCATCCGTGAACAAGGTACAAACTCCTGATTTCGATTCTGACACCATCACTGCTTCTTTGGTAGCCAAAGGTAATAGTCCCGGACTGAAATCGGCCACAAAGTCAGCCAAATCTTGTGACTTAATCGCAGTCCTAAGTTTATACTCGAAGTCAAATTCATTCATTTAGACTGCCCACTTGGCCATACTACATGATAGTTCAGGTATTTGAAGGAAATTTTGCAAGTGAAAGGTGGTCACCACTGCTATCGGATTACATTGTAAATAAGGCCTAAGCTTTGGAGCAGCGACTACGAGATCTAAGGCTAATTTTTTAGATGTGGGTAGCGAGTTTTTACTCCTATTAAAATTTTACTAATATAATAAATAGTAGATTGCATACCTTCATCCTCACGGGCTAAACAAGCACTTACCTCTCCCTCCGAGACCGCTAAGTAGAACAACAGTTGTCCGCTTTCCTCAGGTTTTGATAGTAATGGAGGACTTGACAAATACCTTTTCAAATTCTTTAAAGCATGTTGACATTCTGGAGTCCATTCAAAGTTGTTCTTCTTTTTAGGTAGTGAAAAGAAATGATGGCATTTCTCCAAAGATTTGGAAATGAATCCGCTCAAAGTAGCCAATCTCCCTATCAATCTTTGAAACATCGACCGGGAACACATAACCCGAAAACAAAGTTATATCATCGAAGAACAGTGACTGCATGGTCAGCCCCGTAGAAACAAGTTGTACAAGTTAGCCTCAAGTAATGGTAATTTTTTTAGCACAACGAATGTCTATGAACATCTGAAAATGGATGGAATAAAGTAAAGTCCTATTTATTTTTATTTTGTTTCTTGTCCTATCGATGAATTAATTTTATCATTTGAAAGAACAAGTACTTCAAATGCTAGTGACGTAACGAACAGGAGACATCCTCTTCAAGAGCACTGTAAACATAAGAGGTCCCCCTCTTATGAAACCCTCACATTAAAGGGTTGATTTCGGAAGTGTTTATGCCCGTAATCCAAATGCTCTCGAGGAAAAATACACCTGAAACCTTGCATAATTTGATGCAAAGAAATTTTGTTTTATGCAAATACTTAAATGAAAAAGGATGCAAAGAGAAATAATTGCGTAAATACTTAAACGAAAAAGTACTCAAAGAGAAAAACTTGTATAATACTTAAACAAAAAAGCAATTCTTTTATAGCAAATGTGCCAAGAAGCACGAGTATAAAAGTACAGAAAAGAAATCAAAAGTCTAAACTACTGCACCCCCAAAATACGGAGAAAGAGAAACATTTGCGCCCCTAGGAGAAGTAGGTGGATCCACCGTCAGCTCAATATATTGGCCTTCACCATCTTGGCCTTCGCCATATTGGCCTTCAGCATCATTACCTTCCGGTTCTTCTTCAGTTTCCGAGAACTCGAAATCGGAACCAAAAGACTTGGTAGCATCAGGCTGGACCGGGAGACCCCTCCCAACCAAAATTACTTCTCCATGAATCTTTTATGCCTCTCTTCCAGCCGAACATACGTCTCCTCAGTAACATCAACTTCTTCTATTTTAAAGTTCAAGGCTGTCTCTAAGTTATTCCATCTTTCAGTAAAGGTAATCGTGCGATCGGATGCAGTAAGAATGGCATTGTGGACCTCAACCCACTTTGCCCTAGTTTCTTGAAATTGTAACCTTAGTAGGGCAACCTCTTAGTCAAGGGCCACTACCTCTTGCTCGCTTTGCTGCAACTAAGCCTCCAACTCAACAGCCTCAGCAGCTCTTGCTTCCAATTCCAGGAGAGGGGCAGCAATTTGATTTCTCCTGGCCAACAGTTGATCCCGCTCGTAGGTGAGTTCCTCCTTTTCAAGAATTAACCTTTGAAGGCTCTCAGAACCAAGAAATTTAGCTTGGAAAACAAAAATACAAACTAAAGACCCTGCCATAAGAGAGAAGAAATAACAAAGAAAACAAAGATTATACCGCCGCTGTGTTGTGCATAGTATTGTTCAACAAACACTCTCCCGAGAGAGTTTGTATCTTATTCCTATACTTTTCTGAAGCTAGGACTGGCTTCAGATAATTATCAAGTTACACTAGCCGGGACAACAAATGGCATCCAATAGAAACCCAGAGGTTGACACTCCTCCTCCTCTGTGGATCTTCGAAGGGGACAAAATAATTATGCCCCAAATTCCCATGAACTGGGGACTCGGGAAGAAGGACATCCTTCTCTCGGACAGCTGTGACCGATGAAGTAGTTGCTGGTGGCGAAGATAAGGTTGGAGAAGAAAGAGATGAAGTTAATGGCATTGTAAGTTGACAAGCAGCTGCCGAAAATGCAGTGCTAGTTGATGGTTGCTCATCAACTGAAGATGGAAGAGACATGTTACCCAGCCTCACGGTATCGAACGCGGAGACTAGGACTCGAAAGCGAGAGTTAACATCTTTCACCATTTCATATTCCCTCCAGAGTGCCGGGGCATCATCTTCGGTTGGCAAAATTAACTCAATAGATTGAGCATTCTGTTGAGCTGATGAAGGTCGTCGTCTTCTATGTAGAGAATCCCAATCATCACTAGCTTTTCCATCATCATCGATCACCATAGTATTTGCGGCTGTCTTGGTTGAGACACTCTTCGCCTTCTTATTTTTTCCCTCGGCTGAAGTGGAGTGTTGCCTTTTTGATTGCTTATTCTCTGGCCGGGGACTCGGAGAGGAAGCACATGCACCGAAAACTGGTCCGACAATACCCATTCGAGCAAAGTCCTCCTGCAACAAACTCGCCACGTCTGAGGGATCGACCAAAACATCCTTCTCGGGGAAAAAAATAGAGCCTTGCGGTAGACCTAAATTTAGTAGAAAAAGAAGTTAGCCAAAAATCCTTTCACGAAAGAAAAAACAAGTTAGTTTGGAAATCAGCTTACCATGATTTTTGGCCTTTTTTCCATCAGTGGTTCTCGAGCGTGGTAATACCCAGAATCTTCCAGACCCACTGGTTTAAACCTTCAACCCTTAGAGGTGTCCACCTAAATGTTGGGATAACAAAAAAGAAGAGTCGGGAACGGCATGAACAATTCTTAATCATAGAAAAAGGTATATTTCGAACTTACATGTACGATTCTAACATTCAGGAAAGGATGGAATCGTGGCCGGGATGATGTCCATGGTGGAAACTATAATGAACCACTCCATCCACCCACGATCATTTTCATCATTCATACTGGTGAGTAAAGTATGCTCACCATGTTTGCTGAAGTTTATCATTCTCCAATGAAAAATCTTGGGGGAATAAAGGTTCATCAGTCAAGCTAAGGAAATCTCTTCCTCCGTCTCCTGGCATATATAGCTGCCGAAGACATGCTACCGCCCGCCACACAAAAGGACTCACATGTGCCAGCATTGGTAGCGGAATCAAAACTCCAAGATAGCGGAGTCAATCCCTCGGCTCAATGAAAACGGACCCAAAGTGAAGGGGTATGTGTAAACGTACATAAAATTATTTTTGGAGAAGGTTACCCGCTCTACTAGGTCAATAACAAAGATGTTCAAATCCTCACAACCACAGTCTTCCTTCACAGCAGGAGTACTAGAAGGGCTGGTGGAATAATGATATACGCCAATAGCTCAAGTGTGGGAGTTAGCAGATGGGAACTTCACTTTGAAGTCCTTAGTTGTAATAATCTTTCTGGGAATGATAGTGCTCATCGTGGGAGGAGCAGCATCATCAGCACTTTCTTTGTTTTTCAAAGAACTGAAATTTTTAGAAGAAGAGGCCATTGTTTTTAGAAGATGATAAGGGTATTTTCTCAGAAGAAGAAGACCAGAGGAAGTGGAAAACAAGTATAAGTTGAGTAAAGAGAGTTTGAGAGAGTTTGGAAAGTTATGAAGTGTAAAAGAAAAAGGTTGATACGTATAAGTAAAAGAATAAACGGCTAAAATCGTGTCCATAATTACCTCGATAACCGGCAAAAGTATTGCTAAATCGTGGGATAATATATGTTCGGAGCATTAAATACGGAGAAATGTACGTGTAATCAACCGTCAAAAGCATTTCAGATGGAGTTAAAGAATTTTTCGCCAAGAAAGGGATCTTCAAAACTTCCCGGTGACACAAGATTATGCCACTGAAAGCAGAGAGACTATCTGTACGGGGTAAAATATGTTCATATTAAATGCTCGCATGATAAAGCAACGCGTGGAGCTGAATACAGAAGACAATGGGTCTGAAGGCAACGATCTCGTTTGTTACCTAAGAGAATGATATTCATAAAGGCGAAGTAAATGCCTGTCACCTGGTAGCGTTTAATGAAAAATATTCTTTAGCATTAAGTACTCGGTTCGTTATAGAAAATATGGCATTCAATGTCTACCGTTACACATTTTTCAATGTCCCTCATAATTATCATTAAAGAGGGGATTGATCCTAGGACGTTTATTCCCTAGGTGCAACTATAAATAGTGAGCTCTAGAACCATTGTGGACACGAATTTATTGACTAGCATATACTATACTCTGTTCAAAGCTCGATACCATTTTATCTTTTTGCTTATTAATATTGTCATTACTGCCTCCGAAAGCTCAGCTCCCGGTGCCAAGATTTATTTTGTTCTACCTTGATTTCAACGCTAAGTTTTACATTCTTGTTTAATTTATTTATCATTTTAGGATCAAATCGATTCATTTGTCCATAAACTACGTATAAATTCAAATATTCTATTTTATGAGTAAATGGATAAATTCAACTGTACCATTTTACGGGTAAACAATTGGTTAAGTGCTATATTTTTTTCAATATAAAATTTAAAGATTCAAATGTGCTTATCACCACCATGGTTCAGTTTCTTTTTATTTTCCTAAAACAGTATCACAAAATAACAAAAAACAAATTCTCTTATACAAAATTAATCACACAAACTTTCTGTTTTTTAATTAATTTGTACATGTCATCCTTGTGCAGGGCCAAGGATTTCTATAAACATAAATGGAAGGTACGCTTCTGTAGCCTTATCAAACAACATCATATAAAATATAAGAAATAGATAGTACGTAATACTCATTCCTTTCATTTTATATGACATTATTTGACCGAACACATAATTTAATAAAAAAAGAAAGATTTCTGGAATACAAGGTAACATGCCATGTCAATCCTTTAAGAATATATCATCAATGAAAATATGAAAAATGTTAAGACTAAAGAATTGTCAGAAATAAAAAGACGTGAATTAGGCTAAAAAAGAAAGCGTCATATAAAATTGGAGAAAATACTTTTCTTCCCACTACTTGTCATGCAAAGTGAATCTCACTTGTATCCTATTTCTTTTGGAAGGTCTATATTTATCTTCAAGTGTCGGCAAATGTGTAAAAGATAGGACAAACAAAGCAACTATTTGGGCCGATATAAATTGTTCCTGGGGCAAAATAAAATTTATCGATTAGTCGAAATTAATTGTATTTGGCAATCAAAAAATATATAAAGTATGTATATATATATATATTGTTGGCTATTATTTTTAGGAGCGATTAAAAATATACATTTCTCTTATTTCAAGTAATTAATCAATTTCTTCCTGGACTTCAAATAAATGTGGCCCAAAATCTATTTCTGATGAATGAGAAGAGGAAATCTTTTTGTAAAAATTGCACGGGGCGCCCTATTTGGTAGCCCTCATTTAACCTATACCAATATTTTTAAAATTATTTAAGCTATATCTTAATTTTACAACTTCAGGCGCCACCTTCTTCCTGCTACATGTGCGCTCCTTTCTTTTCTATTCTTTATTCTACTCTTCATTTTTTATAATTTGCAGTATATTTTACTATTGATTTTCTCTTAGTGACTGCCATTTTTGTTGAAACAGCGTTTTAGAACTTTTCTTTATCTATTTATAATTCATTGTCTGTATTTATTACATTTACAATGAATTCATTGTAATGATCCAAACGGTCATTTTGAGAATTTGCACTTCGCTCAATAGTTTGGGGGCACAAGTAGCTCTGTATGATGTATTAGGACTTGTATGCAAAATTTGAGTTATTCTGAGTTGATTTGATATGTTTTGGCGCGAGTTTTTGGAAGTCGAAAGTTTGAGAGTTCATTAAGTTTGATTTAAGGTGCGTTTCGATGTTGTTATGCGTGATTTAAGGCCTCAAGTAGGTCCATATTTTATTATGGGACTTGTTGGTATGTTCGTATAGGGTCTCGAGAGGCTCGGTGAGTTTCGGATAACTTTGGGTTGTGTTGCGCTCGTTTTTCTTATGTTTCGATGTCGTTTTCTTCAAGCATAAATGGTACCACATTAAACAAATGAGTTACAATTTCTGTTTTGATTGAAGCATTAGATCTGTATCGTAATTAATGAGCCATAGAAAAAAGAATTATCAAATTTGGATATCGTATGAAGATTTTAAAGTCATTTTGCTAAAAATTGGGCTGCCAAATTTTTCAGATTAATTACAAAATTGTCACTGACTCGTATTTAAAAATCTGCACTATTTCCAAATATTGAAACCAACATTTCTCCTTTATTATAAGGTCGAATGGAGTGATTCAAAACTATAACTTGACTGAAATTTTACAAGAAATCCATTAGAGGCATCAAGAGTGAGTTTCTAGATCATTTGGCATGCAAATCGAGGCAGAACAGCTGGGCAAAAATACTTAATATCAAAAGTTTGTTCATTTCGTCATATTTTGAGTTGAGGAGCTCGGATTTGGACCATTTTGGAGGTGATTTTCATTATATGGATTGGGGTAAGTGTTCTATACTAGATTTTGGTTATATTTCATAAATCCATCTTCGTTTTAGGCATTTGATTGATGATTTCAAAGTTAAATTTGAGAGTTTTGCCTAAATTTTCATAAAGTGAATTTTTGAGTTTTGAATATCGATTCGGAGTCGGATTTGAGTGAAACTAGTATGGTTGGACTCGTAATTGAATGGGAGTTCGGGTTTTATAAATTTTATCGGGTTCCGAGGTGCGGGCCCGGGGAGTTGACTTTTATTGACTTTTTGCAAATTGTATAAGGATCATGTCTTTGTTAATTAAAATTATTTTCTCTTGCATTATTTGATGTATTTAAATCTCCTTTGGATAGATTGGGCCGAGCGATGGTGAATTAGTAAAGAAAAAGCTAAATTGAGTATTAAGTTGGCCGAATTGAGGTAAGTATCTTGCCTAACCATGTGTGGGGGAAACCACTCGTCAGGAATTGAGTCAATTGTGCTATCTTGATATGTGAAAGTTGTGTACGTAAGGTGACGAGTGGGTAAGCAGCTTATAGGTGGTGTTGACCGGTTAGATTGTCTAGTCTTTTTTTTCATGCGTTTGATCAAATTCTCATAATATGTGGTATCTTGTTGTTAGGCTACACTTACATGCTCAATATGTTGTTGTTAGCATTTATTTATCTCTTGCTCGTTGTTTGGCCTTAATTGCCTTAGTTAAAGTTATTGTCTTTCTAGTTATTTTGTTACTTCTTAATTGTGAGTTCCTCTATGACTCTGTGCATATATGCTACTTGTCTAAATTGTTGTGATTACCTGTGTAGTTGTCACGTGCCCTACATGTCTTATTGTTTTTGTAAAGGCTGTTGTATTCCTTTGATTTTTACGTGATTCTCTTGTTGTCGTGTACTCATACTCTTGATAGTAGAAATTCTTGTAATTGAGTTGTTGAGGTGTTGTTGTTGTTGAATTAAGCTTTTATCTGGTAGGATCGGGTTGCACGCCGCAACAGGAGGAATAAAGGTGATATATTGATGAGGAATATGGGAGAATTGATATTGTTTGGTGGGATCAGGTTGCACGCCGCAACAGGAGTAATAAGGGTGGACAGGTGGGATCGGGTTGCACGCCGCAACAGGAGAAATAAAGGTGATGTATTGATGAGCAATAAAGGTGGACTAATGGGATCGGGTTGCGCACCACAATATATATATATTATTTACTTTTATTTTAATTGTTACGGAGGAATAACGGAGGATTTGTTAGATCGGGTTGCGCGCCGCAACATATATATACTATTTACTCTTGTTGTAATTATTATGGAGGAATCACGGAGGATTAGTGGGATCGGGATGCGTGCCTCATCAATATATGTGCTTATGTATTCCTCTCTGACTGTGTAAGTTATTCGGTAGTTTTACATTTTACTTAGGGATTGGTTATAGTTGGATACTGATAAGACCCTAGTTCATTTGTTCAAGACTTTGATACTTTGTATTTCTAGTTCCACTGAGTTTTAAGGATCGGGTTATTGACATTGAGTTATTGATTTGCCGTTGTTTCTTGAATTCTTACCCTAAAACTATTACTCTAGTGAATTAATTTTCTAAGTAAATTTACTATGTTGAATCATTTCCTCCTGTCCTACTAAGTTGTTAGTAATATAGTGATTTAAAATAAAGTAAATATTACACTACTTTGTATGACTTTTAATTTTGAACTCTTCGTATTATATATACATTTCAATATTTCAAATTCCAATAATCGTTATATATTTTTATTTCAATTAGTTTCTCAATTAAATTTTCTTAAACCGTCTGAGGTTGTATATTATTTGAAAAGGAATTTCTATTAAGTGTTAATTTAATAAAACCTATATAAAGGTAATAATTTATTCGATATTGTATTTTTATTTAAAAAGAGTATTTTCTTCACTCAAACGATTTCTAAAATTAACTTCACATTTCTCGTTGATTTCCTAATTGGTTTAGAAACTGTAATTTACCTCATGTTGTATAAATGAGACTCCTTGACATCTTGATTGTATTTATTACGGACATTATGTATTGGGTAGCACGAGGTTGTTGTCGTGCAAAGTGAGATAGAAATATATGGGCACAAGGTGCCATGTGTGCTAAAGGTTTGGAAATTGAGGTTATATATGAGACATCGGGGATTCAGAATTGTGTCTCAGAAATGATGTGATTGATTGAGTTAACATCACCTTCTTTATCCGAGCACATTTTTACTTGTTTGTGTCCAAGCTATGTTGGTGTTAATTTACTTGGTTATCTTTCGTTTCCATCCGTGTTTTCCTTTATTGTCTCTACTATTTGTAGTTTGATTTCTCTCTGCTGTTGATATTACTTTGTTATCTTTATCTTGATAGTTTATTATCATATCTTATTCAATTTATTTGACCAGTAGGTGTCTTGACTATTTCTCGTCACTACTCCACCAATGTTAGTCTTGATACTTACTGGGCACCACTGTGGTGTGCTCATACTAAAGTTCTATACGTTTTTGTACAAATCCAGGTATTTGATCGATAGTAGCTGTGCAGATCGTCGCGGTGGAGACTCAAGGTAAACTTGTTGTTGCGTTCGCAGGCCTCGGAGTCACCTTCATTTTTACTTATTTCTATTGGTTCCTTTTGTTCTGGAACAGTTGTCACACCTCATTTTTACTACAC